GAAGATCCTCGATAGCGAGAATCTTGGTATCAGCTCGCGCGTGATCCAGAATGACTGGTCATTTATTGGAGAGAAGCTTTCGAGCCTGGAAAAGGCTCAGATGTGGACCGACGGTCTGGCCTACACCAAGGGGCTGCTTGCGATCCCGACGAACGAAGCTGAACAAAAAGCTCTCCAGGAGCGTGACGACTGGGCTGTTTGGCACCTGCTTATTGCTGCAACCAAAAATATCAACACTTCAGAGTAGGTGCTCCGCTTCGTTGTGTGGCATATACAGCAGCTAACGTTATGCCCAAGAACCACGGATGCGACACGGAAGTTCGTTGACGAATTTGTTGCGGCTGTACCGAAGTCCCGCAATGCGCAATTGGCTCGACTTGACCTGATGCACTGGTCCTTCCAGGCGGGTGTTCTGAAGGCCGAGGACCTGATAACCGCTTGTCAGGAGTACTTCGATCGCAATAAGCACAAGCTTTATTGCTTTGGCGATCTGCGAAGCTACGTTCCAACACTGGACAAGAGCGCTGCGTTGAAGTTTGTAGAATACGTATCTGCAAGCGCAGCTGGTAAAACTGATGTAAGTCACGAAGCTCAAAAAGGCTTAACTCCAGCTAATCCTTTCCGTTAAAGGAGGTTGCAAAGATCAATGCGCTCAAGTGCGAGTACTGCTTTTTACTGTCGGCAGACGAGAACAATGCATCCAAGGCAAAGGTTGAGGAGTTCGTTTCTCGTTGCCTGCAGGTCTATCGCGAAGTCGAGCGCCCCGAAAAAAGCTCAGCACCTTCTACTATCGAGAGTCAGCCCAGTGATGACTTGTGTCTGCTTGCGGCCATGAGCTTGATTCGCTTTAGTGGCGCATGGATTTCCGACAGCAGCGAACAAGTCCCGGATACTGTTCTGATTCGCGCAGCAGCAATCTTGGAACGTCTTTTAGTTGACTCGCCTCATAATTACCAGGCACTGTTGCTTCTCGTGAGGATCTACCTCCGTCTTGGCGCAGGTTCTCTTGCCCTTAAAACGTTCAGTAAACTCTCGGTGAAGCAAATACAGTTCGAGACGGTTGCTCATAACCTCTTCACCCGTCTCGCGACTATCCACCCGCACTCTGCACCACCAATCGAGGGAGCAGAGTACAAAGACTTCAACCCCCAGTCTGCTTTTATCCAGGCACTCAACTTCTACAAAACAGCCGATGTCACGACTGTTAGGAATCGTTCTAAGGGATTGGATTATGGAAGCTACTTCAACGTACAAGGCACCATTGATCTGCAGAAACGCCTTAAGCAGAGTATTTGCCGCAGAATGTGGGCTCTGGATGTGAGACGCATACAGCGACTGGCTGGTGGAGACCCTATGGGTCGTTACCAAGACATGGGTAAGTCAGGTTATCTTTAGTCCGAGGTGTGTTGCTCACACAAACAACAGCGAGAGATACATCACCTCTGGTCGACCAGCGTATTTTTGACGCATTCATGAATTGCGAAACGCCTGGCCAACCCACCTTTGAGGAGCGAATGCGCCTGGGACCCCTGCCTCGTGTAAGCTAATTTTCCGTCCTGCGACCCGTGGGTATGGCTGACCAGTCTAGGATCAATGGATCAAATCTTCAAGGATGACTGACCATCTCTTTGACCTTCTCAAATCTATGACGGCTCAGAAACCCGTCTCTGTGGAACCTGAGTTGCCTAGGTTTGAGGATGTTGTGGGACCCGAAGCGGAAGTTGAAATGACCCCGTCAGAGATCGAAAGCGCCAGGGTGAACCTTAACATTCTAACCTTGGCTTTGTTCCTGAACGGATCGAAGTCAGTCACCTCGGAACAGGTGGATACCTGTCTCACCCAAGTCGAGGAGTGGCTGGAGTCCAAGCTCAACGACGTCACTGTGAACGACGCCAATATCTCGCCAGTAATATCCAATACGGCAATCTACGTGAAACCAGAGGCCCCAACTGCTCCGTCCTGGAGGTACTTCCATAGCCTTTTCACCGTACTAGACTCGCTTAAGGCCCTGTCCCTTCTCTACACTGTTGGGTTGAGAAAGGGAACCAAGGGCAAGCTACCGAAAGAACGTGTCGAAAAGCTGGCCGATAAGACACGCCAAGTCCATCAGGGTGTGCGAGCCAATGTTCGAGCCCTCAAATCTTTCATCTCGGCTCCCGGTGTTCTCGGCTCGCTGACTGATTTGGTCGTGGCTGGTTCTGGAAGCGAAGATGGCTCTCAGCTCCGTACCGAGCTGGAAAAGACTCTGGACACGGCTGCTTTGGAGGTGTTCTGTGGCGAGCTGATGGAGAGCTGGGAGGAAGGTCTTGGTGGGGTGTTCGCCGTGTCTATGTAGAACTCAGCGAAAGCAGCATGCATTGAAGCAAGTCATGAGCATTAGACAATCCATCCTTAGCCAAGTTTCCCCAAAAAAATACAATCCATCCACTGATACTCTTCTCGACGTGTGACATCCGCACCCAAGATGGCAATTGCTACCATCCGGGGCCATGGGTAAGTCTGATATTTCGGTTTCAGGATGCTTCCCACATCTGTCGTACAGTTGGACCCCAAAGGCGCCATTGAGAAAAATCGGCATGTAAGACAGACGTGACCTTGGAGTTAGAAGAGCGCTCACGAGACCTGTATGCGAGAATGCTCATCTCTCTGCTACAACGAAGATTCGGTATTTCACTTTGATTCCGATCACGCACGGCTGTCCCATGTAACCCATACCCTTGGGTCAGAAACATGGTCGATGAGTCTAGCAAATCGAAACAGCCAGTGCCTGAGACGGTGAAGCACCAGGGTAAGCGCGACAAGCAAAGAGAGGGTCACACTAGCATTGCAGCGTAATTTTCCCGACCCATTGTCGTGGGCACTTCCACAACCCTCCCAGAGTTGTACCACACACCAGTTCCCCGGCAGGTTGTGACGCCTTACTATCCAGGGGAAAAGGTTTCCAACTTCGTTTGGGACCAGTGTTTGATCCTCATGGCTAGCAAGGACAGGGTACTGCGAGAACTAGTTACACCCTAGGATGTATCACTTTTGTCGCCTTGGGACCAGGAACAGAAGAAGGGTTATAAACTCCGGTTGTCGGCTTGGTAGGCCTAGTTAATGGGATTGTTGCTGATGTAGCTCTTTCCCTTTGTCTTGTGGACGATACCATGGCTGAGGTCTACTCGAATGGAAACTCTTCTTCACCCTCTTATGACTATCGCTACTCGCATCAGCCTTGGAATGTGGTCACTCAGACGGTGTGTCTTGTCGTAAGTACTGGCTTTGTTGCCATGCGGTTGTATTCGAAGATCCATATCACGAAAGCGCCTGGTTGGGAAGACTGTATGTGGGATCTTGTTGTTATTCGTTTTGGACTCGTTGAAGAGGTGCTGATGAGCTATGTTCTAGGGACTTGCTGTCTGGCTTGGGTATGGAACAACTCCTGCTTGCCGTATCATACGCTCATGCAACATCCCTACTACTTAGCTCGGACTGTTAGGTTTTGTCGGTATCTCCCTCGAGGCAGACAGACATGGAATCGGTGTTCATCAATGGGAGGTTGATCCCCATGATCTGAGTGATTTCGCCAAAGTATAAGACGACCCTGTCCAATCTAACTAGGCATATCTGCCACAGCGACTGACCTTAAGATATAGCTGATAAACGCATCACAGGTTCTCTATGGGCCTCTGATATTCCTCACCAAATTGTCCATCTTCCTTCTCTACTTGCGGGTGTTCGCTCCATCTCCCAAGTGTAACCAGTGGTGGTTCATACAGATTCTGATGGGGCTGAACTTTTTCTTCTACTTGGCGGATACTATCGTGAAGATATTCGAATGCACACCAAGAGCAAGGATCTGGGATAAGACTGTCCCGGGTCGTTGCATTGACGCTGCAATACCTGTCCTCGTGACTTCCATCGTGAACGTCGTCTCGGATATCATGATGCTGCTGATGCCCATCAGATGTGTCTGGCGGTTGCAAATCACTTTACGGAAGAAAGTAGGCATCACAGCTATATTTGCAGCTGGCCTTTTGTGAGTTTGCCAGTCTAAATTGTTCCATCATGTTCTTCGACGACAAGTAAACAGCGCTAATTGCAACGGACAATATAGCGGCTGTCTCGCCAGCGTGATGCGTCTGCGTTGGAGCGTCAAAAACCGCAACACAACGGATAATACTTACGATGCGTTTCCTGAGCTTTTATGGACGTAGGTGATGACACCTTTCCTTCCATCCTATCCAAAGTGTCCTTCTATAGGGACTGATTTATATAACTAACCATGTCCTGCTAGAACGGCGGAAATAACCTCTGGAATTATCGCCAGTAGCTTACCAGCCCTGCCGAGCTTCTACAGACACACCTCCCAAAAAGCCAAGACACTCGTCAGGAGCATAAGCACCGCAAGTCTGACTACATTCAAGAGAAGACTACCCAGCACAGGCAACGGATCTGGGGCTCGACAGTCTGTTTCGCATTTTTCCTGGCATCCAAGTTCCGATCCAAGCAGATCCGAACTGGTGCGGTCCGGATCGGACTGGGAGATGGGGGAGATCGGACCATTTCACGGAACGTTCTTCATGACTACAACAGGCACGGCGGAGGGAGATGGGGAGAAGGGGTTCCACTCTAATATTGATGGGCTCCGGGTGGAGGAGGAGGGATGTAAACAACAACTGCCGAGGGATGGAATTCTGAAGACAGTGCAGGTGGAGATTGAGTCTGGGCCTGCTCTGAAAGAGTACGAGTAACAGTTTAGTATGTTCTGTGTAGAGTGAGTTGCGTATGAGAACGACGGAGATGGTGAAATTGAGCAGGATCTCATAGATGGAAACTCCGCATTGATCCAAAATCCCCATATATTCCTGAAACTAAAATAAACTAAACCCAAAGTAGCTGCAATAACTTGACACCTCAGGCATTAACACATGACAAAGACGGGCAAACCAACCCTAAGCCCTAGTGCTCGCTACGCACTGCCGCAACGGCCAACCAAAACCCAGCAAAGTCTATCGCGATTCCATCCGCACCGACGCCCCTCGACTTCGACAACTCCCAGCAGCAACCTCCGTCGTCGCCAACCCGCAGTCGTCCCAACCGTCGTGATGGCGCAAGAACGTTCCGGAATCGTGGTCGGTCTGAACAAGGGCCACGTACGTTGTCCCCTGTCCTGAAGCTTGTTTTCTGAGTGTCCCGTTTTTGTCTTTGCGCGTGGGAAGATTTGGTCCGGTCGAGTCGACGAGATTTCAAGCGTGTGAGCGGTTTGCGGAAAGGTACAATTTGGATGGGAATGGAAAAGGAAAAGGCCGAGAAATTTGGGAGAAATCTAAGAATTATATGTCCGGAGAAGGGTCTTTTTTGTCTGCAATGCGGCGGAAAGATTCCTTTACAACGGCCCGACATTTTTTGACCTTTACATTCGACATGGGAAAAGATTGGTAACTGGGAATTGAAATCGTCCGACTCGGCTGGATCATATCGGAATACTGCTGCTTTGATATCTCCAATTATGGAGAATTTCGCGGTTGAAAGACACAAGGAAGATCAAGGACAATCGGACTAACATGTCTTTGATATCTTGCAGAAAACCACCCCCCTCAACACCCCCAAGACCCGGATCAGCCGTACCAAGGGCCAGTCTTCCCGCCGCACGGCCTTCGTTCGTGAGATCGCCCGCGAGGTTGTCGGTCTTGCCCCCTATGAGCGTCGTATCATCGAACTCCTGAGAAACACTCAGGACAAGCGCGCTCGTAAGCTCGCCAAGAAGAGAGTACGTTTGTCAATGCCTTACCTTTGTTATCTGGAGGGAAGGTATGGTTGGGAGGTTCGATTGTTTGCTTGCTCGCTCGATTGTCTCTTCGGTTTCGGTCCGCTTTATATGTGCATCGTGTTTTTCGACGTCTCCACGATTACGCTTGATCGGCATGTACGGACCCATGATTGTTACCGAATATTACCATGGAGAAGAAACCGCCGTCGACAATCCATCCATCACCAACCAACCATGAATGCCAGCCGGAAACAACAAGCCAAACCGACGAAGCAAGCAACACACCAACCACGGAACCAATGAGCAAAAGCGAGCAAGCAAGCAAGCAATCTGAACTACCACCACCAACCTATCCACTTCCTCCAACTCTTTTATATCAAAACCACCTGCTAACATACAATTTCCTACAGCTCGGTACCTTCGGCCGTGGCAAGAGAAAGGTCGAGGACATGCAGCGTGTCATCGCCGAGGCCCGCCGCACTGGCGCTCACTAAGCTTCCCATTTCTCTCTCCTCAAATATCTCCTGTTTCCAGTTTTCTCTCTCTCCTATTAGCCAAGAATGAGATAACGAAAACATCCCACACCCAACCTCAAAAAATGAAATGAAAGTGAAAGTGAGAAACAAGCAAAATCATGTTTCAATACATCCCTCTCTCTCTCTTCCTCCGAGTTGTAAATTAGCCCCTAGCCCCTAGGGCGCAAAGCGTGGTGTGTGAGGGGTTGGCTGGTAGGGGCGCTTGACTTGATCTCAGTACTTCAGCCCCCACAGGCCTCTTTCACAAGTTTGTCTTGGAGGACTTGGGGGGGAGTCTGGGGTTGATGGACAGGAAAACAAAAAGGGAATGAAATGAGAAGGGTTTAGAAAAACGGAGTTAAATACAATACCACTGCACTACTGGGATTTTTTTTGTTTTCGGATTGGTTTGCTTGTTGATGATGTTTTGCTTTTGATAGGTTTATTCTGCTCGTATACTGTAGATGTATTTCGTAAGGACCTTCACTACTACTTATATACTATCCGTTGGGGAATGAGCGGAACTATGAGTTGGTATTAGACAGCCATATGACTCTCATTTGTACGTTGCGTAGGTTGCTTGTTGACATCAATCATAACTATTTCGCTATCTATCTGCTAGTATATCATTCATTTCTTGCCCGGCAACTTCAACCACTTAGGCATTCCGCCCGGTTTCCGCTTCTCGCCACGAGCCCCGTCTCCGGTGCTTGTCGGCTTCGGCCTGCTAACGTCTGAGTTATCTGTTACGTCCTTGGGCTGCTCGACCTTGAGTTCCTGCGCGCGTGTCCGCAGTTCCGGTTTTAAGAGTTCCCGGCTTTGCCGGGCGGCCGGGGATGCGTTCGCATCCCAGGTGAAGTTGACCAGCACACGGCCGATCATGGCTAGATCCTTGATCAGCAGCTGTTGGTCTGAGTCGGGGACAATGTTTTGGATGTTTCTCCCCGGCTGTCCTCCGCTAGATGTCTTGGGGAGGGAGGATGTAATGGTGAATTTCTCGCTGGCGAATGGCGCGGCAAGACAGTTTCGAACGAAGTCGTAGAGTGACTTGCCCGTATCTTCCTGTCCGAACTTGGCCACGACCTGGCTTTGGTCTGGTAGGCGCACTTTGACATCTACTTGTGTGACTGCGGCGAGTCGTTCCTCTTCTGCAGCTGCCTTGGCGGCGATTTCGGCGTCCGTTGGGAGCCGTAGGGGTCGGGAGGTTGCGTTCAGTCGTCGCTGATGTGCCTGTGCGTGTTCGATGGATGGGATGTAGTCGGTCTCGTTGTAATTTGTTTGTGCGGACTGGGGTGTGGTGTTGGAGGGGGGAGAGAACACAGTTATGGGGCGGGAGAAACCAGTTGGTACCTCGGTGGGTTCTGCAGCAGGCGCATCAGCTGTAGGAGCAGTTGGTAGGGTTTGTTCAGTGGTCGAAGGTGCCTCGGATGTAGATGCGGGCTGTTGCTGTGCCTCCTCTTCTTTGTTGGATGTATCGGCCTGTGGTGGTTGCTCTGTAGGTGCAGGCGGCTCTTCGGCCTTGGGGGTCACGTCGTCGAACGGTTTGAAGTAGTCCTGAATCTTGACCATAGCCTCCTCCAAGGGTTCGTCTGTACGGCGAAAACTCAGCCGCAGTAGCACATTTCCGTTATTGAATCCCAGCTGTGCCAAAGATTTCTGCAGATCAGTGAACGAGGACAGTTCCCGTTCCATAATCTGAACGACCGGGGTTTCGTAGTAGAGTCTTCCTGCGCCTTCATTGCCACTAGGGACACCTCGTCCAGTCAGATTCCGGGTTGAAGCACCTCCAGCAACCCCAGCCTCGAATTTGCGCAATACTAGCCATATTGTTGTCGTGCTGGGGAATTTATCCAAGAGTCGTCTGTTTGGGGGTGCCCCTCGTGCTTCTGATTCAGGCAGTTGTAGAGCGACGGTGACGACGGAGGGCGAACGGGAGAGCTGAACCAACTCCAGCTTTGCGCCGGAAGTGAGCCCAGAGAGGCGAAATACCAGTGAAAGATCGAGCTCTTTACCTTTGTATCTTGACAAAAGCCGTCAGTCTTATGAGCTTCGTAAGATGGGTGTAGTTGATGCTTACTTTAGTCCATGTTGGCTGGCATCCACACCTAGCTTTGTACAAGCTTCTTGTAGAACATCAGTTAGATGCTTCCCATGTGTCGTCTTGATAGTAGCTCGTCGGGCTGTTGAATCAAGAACCACGACATGAGAGCTCATGATTTAAGAGGGATTGGTGTTGCGGGGCGGGGAAGATGAGGTTGAGAATGGGACAGAGAGAATGGCCGTCAACTGGCTTTTTTTTTGCAGCAGTGAGCGACTGTGTAATCAGCTTATCTATTCAAATCCAACCAACAAAAGTCTAGACCAGTAGAGTGAGAGAAGAGGATGGGGAGGGTGAGGGGAAATGGTTGTTCAAGGCGGAGGGAAATGATTGTAGGCAGCGGGCGCAAGCGTCATCGGCAGAAGCTCGGCGGCTCCACGCGTTGCTGGCAGAGCTTCAATCACTCCTCCATCCATCCATCCTCCGCCCATCTTCCATCTCCCATCGCCTCGACCCTCCCTCTACACGCTCACATCTCCCTTTATCTCTTGGAACTTGATCCGGAAGTTCATAATCGATCTTATTCCGAGCTTCTAGTTGTGCAATTCTTCGTTAACCATGGTATGTGTGCTGCGTGACCCTCACCTCTTCCTCGAACGAACCTGGCTGACAGACCTCCTCCACAGAGTTCCCCTTTCGATATCAGTATGTACTAGCTTCGCACAGCTTACCATCATAGCTACTAACTCTTGGATGAACAGATGGCGGTGCCTGCGTCGCCATGGTGGGCAAGGACTGCGTCGCAATCGCCTGTGATCTCCGGTTGGGTATGCAGGCCCTGACTGTCTCCAACAACTTTCCCAAGATCTTCAACTACGGCCCCTCTACCTTCCTCGGTCTGACCGGTCTGGCTACCGACGTGTCGACTGTGTCCGACCTTTTCCGGTACAAGGTCAACATGTACCGCCTCCGCGAGGAACGGAACATTGCCCCCCAGACTCTCGCCAACCTGGTCAGTTCGTCGTTATACGAGAAGCGGTTCGGACCTTTCTTCGTCAGCCCCGTCATTGCCGGAATCAACAGCACAACGGGGAAGCCTTTCATCTGCGGATTTGACAGTATCGGGTGTATCGATTTTGCGAAGGACTTCATTGTTAGCGGAACTGCCAGTGAGCAGCTCTTTGGTACCTGCGAGGGTCTGTGGGAGCCGGACTTGGTAAGACTCCTCCCCTCGTGAAAAGGGAAATGAAGGTGGTGGTGTCGAGTCTGTACTAACACCATGGTGTAGTCTCCCGAGGACCTGTTCGAGACCATCTCGCAAGCCTTGCTCAGCGCCGTCGATCGAGACGCCCTTTCCGGTTGGGGTGCACAGGTGTATATCATAGAAAAGGACAAGGTCACCAAGCGCCTACTTAAGGGAAGGCAAGATTAGATGGCATTCTCTGGAGTATAATTGTTTTCTAATGTCACGCCGTTTGTCTGTTCTAATTTACGTCCCTCAACATGGAATCTTGCTGTTGATAGCAGTCTCTGGCGCCTGAGGTCTCGACTCGAAGATACGTGCTGTCGATAGAGATTGGCCAAACAGAAAATGAGTATCATGAACTATGATCAAGCCCTGGATAGCCATGCTTGGGGTCTAGACTTGCCGCCTAATAATACATAATAGGCCGAGTGAAGGGTACGAGCTACCATGTGTTTTACACCCATCGGCTCCTACCTTCGATGTCTGGCCCGTTGTTTGATTAATAATTATTATGCGCTTGAGTAATACGACGTAGCTCTCGTCACAACAGTAAGAAGGGCATCTTTGGCTTATTACGCAGGTAGTAGGCATCTACATACCGGCGGCAGATCAGTCTTCACACCCTCGCATGCTGCAAAGCACACCCCCGGGACCAATACCTTGATTCAGATCAGACCTTCGAGGTCTAGTTTTTGGTTCTATTTTCCCTTTTCCATTTTCTAGTTTCCCACTAAGGGCCGCGTGACGGGGATGGCTGCTGTACGCTTTAAGGAAGTTTTATGCCGTGGGTTACCCGGCCCGTAGATTCGTAACCCTTCCGGTACAGTGGAGACCTCATACGTACAATGTGAATGCCCGGATGGCACAGTTGCATAATGGCATCTGCCACCCCGGTCGAGACCTCGCCGTCCGTGCATATCTGGGGAGGATGATAGAGGTTAATTGGGAAGCCAACTGATGGGAGAAAGAGGGACATAACAGGTTAGTTGGTAAGGATGATTGCAGGATGAAGATATGATGCAGAAGTTGTTAGGAACCGATCGGGTTGCAAACGAGGAAGAGTCTGGGTAGAGTCTGGGTCGGGAGGTCTCCCGGTGATGGTTAAGAGCCAGTGATCACTCATCAGACGAAGGAGGGTCTTTCTACCTCCGTAGGCATCTTCATCCATGGATCCTTTCCCACTGCTGGCGAGGTACCATGTGCAACCCACGAATGCTGAAACTGGGAAATTTGTCCCGGAGCAAAGTGAGAATAATTTATTTCTTAGCCAGAGTGTGCAGTAGTGTAAGTTTAGTAGGCAGGCATGCAGAGATAGCCACGGGGTCCAAACCGGTGCTGACCTCCCCCCGGCCGATCGCAACCTTGAATCCCCTTTTCCCCCATCTTGTGTGATCCTTCAGTCATCCTGGACTTGGGATTCCCTAGAACCTTTTTTCGCAAAGCCGGGACAAGTTAGAGTCTCGAAAAGCCAGCGAGAGCCTGGTGAAGGGGAGGTCCAAGACTTGCCAGCATCTCGCTCCGTTTCAGCCTCCCCGCGTCTAGACCTGGCGATCGGCCCAAGTTGGCCCCATCGATTTCTCAGGCTCGCTTCTTTCCCCTCCTCATCGTCCCATTCCTGGTCGCTCCATCTCATCCCGGCCTGGATTCTCTATCTCGCATTCCGTCACTCTTCCTTCCTTCTCTTCCTCCCTCCCACCCCATCCCGTCTCCATCTCCCGATCTCCATCGCCCCTATCCCTCCTCTTCTACTGGCCGTTTCGATCTGGCATCCTGGCACCCCTCTCTCACCCCCATCCTTCCCTCTCTCTCGATCACCATCCGCCCGTTCACCGGTTGGTCTGTGCCATTAATCTCTGCCCCAGAATTTGACTCGGCCAGTCGTCGAGGGAACGCTTCTCAACCATCGCGATAAGAAATCAAAAGACGGATCGATCTTCAGGGGGTTTCAGGAACGGGAAAAGGAAATCCGAACATCATAGCTGAATCCGAGGCATCCAGCGAATCACCTACAAATTCTTTCCCAGCGGAGAGAAAAAGCGGAAAAAAGGGAGATTTCTCCCCCCCCCAAAGCAACAGAACCTCTCGGTCTTCTATTGACCAGCTTGCACCCTAATATCCTTCGAGTCATTCGTCTTGATCCTATCGGAGGATAATATAATTTTCAAGGCCGGTGCCTGCTCTTTTGCAGAGCATCCCCCGCGGTGTAGCTCAGCGTGGGCTTCATCTTTTCTATCGACCCCAAAGTGATGTATGTATTGAAGAGCCAGAGCCATCTAGGACGGGCATTGTGCTTGGTAGCCTCCTTCTATCCCTACTACACACCCTGCTGGATTGAATATAGCTAACGAGGCTCCTGTTTGACTGGCCATACAGACCGAAAGCCATGCGCTGTGCCCCTTCCAACAACCTGGGTCTTGATTCATTGATATCTTATCAATCCCCCTCGGTAACCTGGCGACCTCCCATATTATCATCCAGCCCTGTATCTCCGCCTTAGATTTGGTCTTTAACAGCAAATCGAGGGAACTGCAGTGCACCCACCATTCGGCACATCATGCCCGATTCCGCGGAGTCAGAATGGTCTAAATCCTTTGCATCCGGCCCAACCATGTCGTTACTTCCGTGCAAATCTCAGGTTCTTCCGGGCGATGCGTCCGCATCTACTTTGCGCGAGGACGATGCGCAGGCCGACTCGTCCGGTCGCAGATATATCGGAGCGCCTCAGAACGTGGCAATCGACCGGCTGGTGAAATTGAAGCAGGATCTTCGAACCCTCGGATTGGAAAAGTTTTGGAATCATCTCATGGAGAATATCAGTTCGATCTGTGACGCTCAGTACGTGTTTGTTGCTCGCAAGGCCCGGGAGGACGAGTCGGTCAACGAAATACGAGGCCACAAGCCATATTTATTCGGCTCGGCATTCTATTACAATGATGGATACGAAACTGCAGGCATGCATCGCCACAGATACTTTGCTGGCGGGAATCCCCTGTCCCATATGGATCACGAAAAGCCCTGTTTGATCCCGGAGAATTTGGGCTCCTACATATCGTTCGATCAAGATCAGCTGCCGTTCGCTGCAGAAGGCTATCTGGCTGTCCCCCTGTTCTCGGAAACCAAATGTCTCGCATACCTTGGTCTGATGTGGTCGGAGTCCGGATTGAAGAAGCGCAACCTTTCGTGGTCGTTTCTCGAAATGATACTGTATTCTTTGGAAGATCTGGTCGTCCAGCACATCCGTGACGATCTTGAAGCGGCAAACACACAGCAGGCGAGCAACAGCAAGGCGAGAAGTATGTCTGCCAGCCACGCGATTGTCGAGGATGCACACATCAGCATCCCTCATGGATTAGCCGACTTTGCCTCTCACCCGTTGAAGCCTTATGCCCGGAGTTTGTCACATGAACTCCGCACGCCGATGCAGGGTGTTGTCGGGATGCTAGATGTCATGCATGCCACAGTTCGCGAAGCTATCCAGGACAAGCCATCTCCGAAAGCGGGGTTCGTTTTCCGAACACTCAAGGAGAGTATCGAAATGGTTCAAGGTTCGTGTTTCGTTCATTCTTAGATCCCCATTTCCGAATGCTGACTCGCATTTTTCCATCTTTACAGATAGCGCGAGACGAGCGGTCGAAGCAGCAGACAACGTGGTCCACGCCTACGACCTGAACATGCAAGTCCCCAAGACTCCTCAACTCGAAAGAGACGATTGTTTTGGTGGGCCCGTCCAAACACCATTGAGCACGTGCGACAGCCGGCCAAGTGTCTTCGTCGAAGGAAGCAACATCACGGTTAATCCGTACAAACGACGACGGAGTAATCCGCCAGAATGGAACATCGGCACAACGCCAAAACAGAAGGTCCCACGCGTCGTGTCGCCAAAGGGACTTTCTCCCCGTAGCGAGGAAGTCAAAAACGCCGTCCACGAAAGCGAGAAGTTGATGAAAGCCGCCCCTGCTCATCAGATAGAAGCAGTAATGGCCAACATGGTCAATCCCCGACCATCGCTGGCAGTTCGCCGCTCGGCACCGCATCTCTTGTTGGAGGGCATTAACGTCAATGTTGTCCCCGCGCTGAGGTTCACCAAGCTTCGCGATCTGCTCCGTCTAGTGATTAATGAATCCTTGCATGTTGGTGGTCGGCCTGACTTTGCTGTGAGCAATGCGACCGACACGGGGGAGAAGATTGAGATCCGGTCACGCTCATCAAACGGTGAAGTGTTTTCCAAAACCATCAATTGGTCGGTCGATCCCGCGCTACCGGATACACTATTTGTGGATGATCGCGACCTGGCCAAGTTGATTTCGTGCGTTTTCCTCAATGCGGTCAAGTTCACCAATAGCGGTGTGATAACCGTGTGTGCCACCGTTGGCCGCAAGACCAACGATGTCTTGATCGCTGTGAGGGACACTGGACCTGGAATTCCAGAAGCATTCTTGCCTAAGCTCTTCAAGCCGTTTGCTCGGGAAGACACATCTACCACTCGGAGTAAGGATGGGCTAGGACTGGGTCTCCTTGTAGCCAAGGGTCTGGCCAGGAAAATGGGCGGCGACCTCACCTGCGTTCGCTCCTGCACCACCGGTCCCGACCATGGCTCCGAGTTTGAGATCAGAATTCCGGCCAACCAGCCCGATCCGACATTGGCTCCTCCGAACAAGCTGTTGACACCGCCGCAGCTCTGCGATCCTTCGCGCATGACCAGTGCGAGCACCTCGACGGTAGAATCGTCGTTGCTGTCGCCCGCGCTGCGAACACCGAGTCAGCCGATCCAGCAGCCGTCACCTAGTTTGACTGAGGAATCGTCTGTGACGTTGACCCCTGCGCGTTCGGTTCCCCATTGCAAGTCAATGCCACGCCACATTAATGGTGACACTCATGACAGTAAACTTGGTGAAAAGCATCCACTCACCTTCCTCGTTGCCGAGGACAACAAGATCAATCGGCGTGTGTTGGTTCATATGCTGAAGCGCCTTGGCTATAGCGACATCTACGAAGCTTGTAATGGAAAGGAAGCGGTCCGCATCATGCAGGAGGTTCTGGTCGCCCAAAGCACAGCAGAAGGCCCCTCTCCCAAGCTCGAGAGCACGGCAGACGGGTTTCCGATCCCCAATCCTCCGAATCATCGCAAGAAGATGAAACCGGTGGACGTTGTGTTGATGGACCTGTGGATGCCAGAAATGGACGGATACGAAGCCACGTCCAAAATCCTTCAGCTAATAGATGAATACCACGGTCAAATCCCCCCTAATTGTCGGCCTGAGCAGCAGCATCCGCCTCCCATAGCGACGCCTGCAGCCCATCAGCCTGTGGCGCCGACGGTCCTTGCCGTCAGCGCTGATGTCACCGACGAGGCACTCAGTCGCGCCTCGAAAGTGGGCATGAAGGGCTATATGACCAAGCCGTACAAGCTCTCGGATCTCGAGCGATTGATCCTAGGGTTTTGCAGTGATGCCACGACCCCTGCCGCCAGACAACCCGACGACTCGACGATGAATACATGACATAGATACATACTCCGGTCTTTTCAGTTATTGATTCCCACCCCCCGCTTTATACCTCATTTTGTCTTTCTTTTCTGTTGTTGTCTGCCATTGAATCTTGATTGGATCTGGTACCACAGCATGGGCGCTGTTTCTACTGCAGGGAGCAGCTGAATTAATGTTAGAAGAATAATTTTTTAGTGCTGATGTATTTACGAGCGATCTTCTGCATCCTTTATGATCAAATGATGACTGGGGGCAAAGATGGAAACGCACACGTTTCGTCCAACTTGAAAGAATGCAATGATTTTTGGATGGTCCAACACTTGAATGAATGCTAGATAGATAAATCTCGCTGTTACTATCTATACAACCTTTCCCTCCAATAAGCACTAACTTAGTAGACCCGAGCCACCTACAGTAGCGAAAGAGAAGACAAATCATCCTTTGGGTTGACATAGCCGAGAATACCTAGTATGCACACTAAACATCCATTTATAGTAATCAAGAAGCCCTAGAAAACTACACGACAATCGGGCTTTGCTGTCTACATCTTTGATGGTAAGTTAGTATAGCTGTCACCACAAGTGCCGCGTATTATATTCTGTGTTCGAGGGGGCAGTTTTAAGGTGGCTCTAGTAGTTTTGTTGTAAGACTGGCCTCAGGAACCAGCATATTTGTTGGGTTGGGATAGTACACTGCTCTGCTACTATGCCTCGGAAAGCATAGGCTGTGGGCTGCAGCAGAGCAGATGCAACAGGGGGGTCTTTGGATTATCTTCTGGTGGTTGGGTCCAGGATCAGTTTAATAGGAGTTGTTGCTACTATGAGATGAATGGATCGGATAGCGGCATGAGAGAAGAGTTGGTTGATGTCGTGAACTACTGTGGGAAATATGAGCATAGCCATGAACTTTATATCCTTAGTGCTGAGTTGCTCGCACGTGGCTTGTGTTGAATTGGGAAAGTTATCAGGCATACTTCAGTTAGTAGAAGTATGACAGTGATGGGTTTGCTGGTTGGGGAATCCAATTCTGATAGAACAAGTGAACTTAGAGAGCATGATCCATACTAGCAAGGAACTACGGGAAATATCTACCATCATATGTGCCACGTTAATCCAGTAAGTATTATCCAGTAAGTATTATTAGTCCTTCTAATTGATGTAATTGTATGGGGAGTAGTATCGGCTGCTGTCGTATCTTCTGTGACTACTGTGATGCATTGGATTCCCGTGAACACCTGGTTTCCGTATAGTGGACAAGCAAGATGCTGAGAAATTCTTGGGACTACAATACCGGTCATCTTCATATTAAGCATCCCAAAAAATATGTGTCGGCAGAACGATAGAGGCAGGGGAGTGAAGCAGATATCGCAAGGTTTCCTTGAAGTAGTAGCAGCAGAACCACATACATGCATTTTACATTCACTCATCAAACTCACACAAGAGAGAAATAATAATCGCTAAACAACCGATCATAGCTAGCTAGGTAGTAGTTTATTGTAAGTACAACCAGGTACCTCTCACTCATTCCTTTTGGCCTATTTTCTCCAACTTGTACTCCCCCGATCTCGAACAAAGAAAAAGAAAAGTAAGTCCCCCGTTTATGTCAACTTCTGCTTGATGAAGAACGACCGCAGATGCGAAAGCTGCCAAGCACATGCCACCGACAGCACAGCCAGCTGGATGAGAGTCCACCGAACCACGCGGGAGTTGGTGGCCTCAGACTGGTCGCGGAATTCAGCTTCACGTTCCTGTTTAGACACATTGTTAGTAAGTCATTGATCAAACTGCCCAAAACATCATCCCCGTGGGGGGAAACATACCCGCTGGAACACCTGCTCCCTACGAATATCCTGCAACCGGCCGTTCAGATCCTTCACCTTCTGCACAATATCCTGCATCTTGTCCTTGTCTTCCGTCTCGATCTTGCTCGTCTCACCGATGGCCATGTCCAGAGTGACCTGGACAGCACCGGACGGGGCGCCCGACAGCCAGCCGCCGCCAGTTGCGGCGTTGGTCTCGGGAGTCACACAGATCTTGTGCAGGCCGGCGTCGGCAGCGGAGAAGGTAAAGCGACCAGAGTGGCTGTCACGCTTGGAGACGACGCGGTGGTCGTTGTCGAAGATCTCGTCGACGGTGACGAGCATCTTAAGGTTAGGGTCCACATTGTAGGTGTTGGATTGTTGGTTGATCACGGCGGTAGAGTAGGTCCCTTTATCATACCCATATCGCATTAGTATTGAGTAGTGAGTAAATTGGGTAAGCCGATAGTGAGTAGCATACCGACAACCAGGGTATCCTTAGGGAGCTCCTCAAAGAAGCACTTTGTTTGGCGGCCGTCCATGTAGAAGTAGAGGGCGTTGGCGGGCACCGAGAGGCACAGGATGGCACAGACGGCCATCAAGGAGGACAGCCATGAGGCGGAGGATCTTACCGGAGCCATGATGCAGTTGAATGGGAGAAATTGGCGGAGGGGGGAAAGAAACAACAGAGGGAGGGAGATGATGAGAACAGTTGGCGATGAAGCGATTGCCTCGATCTGGCCGGATCCCGTCTTGGCGCGAATTCTCATGGCTTTTGCTTCTCCGCCTTCATCTTCCCTTCCATCTCCTCCCCTCTTCCCTTCTCGCTCCTCGATCATTATCATTGCTGCATTGCTATCTTCTTGTTGGTTTCATTGAAAAATTACATACATCGCACTTCATCACCCCTTGGAATTCGCTCAGCCCTTAAACCCCCACAGGTGCCTCCGCCATGGCCGCCGCCGATGTTCGCGACATGCTGGATCTGCCCGCGGAGGGCCAGCCCCGACCTCATAAGAAACAGAAGGTCGTCGAGAAGCGTCCAGGTGAGCTTCTCTCGGTTCCCTTACTCACCTAAAACTATTCTGACATATTCCCAACGCTAGAGGGTATTACCCGTGAGCTCTATGCTCTGCTAGGTGAACGAGCACCTCCGATCGCCATCAACGAGAACCGCTACAAGGGACGCCCGAAATGGACGAGCAAAAAGCGCGTCCAGCCATGGTACGCACACACCACCATATATCTACTGCTCCGATACCGAATACTGACTCCATCAGGCGCATGACCCCCTTCATCAACAGCGCCCGCTCCGACGGCCTCGTTCTCCGCCACTGGCAGCGCCAGCATGAATCCGCCAAGGTCCCCGCGCTGGAGGGCTCCGAGATGGACGTGGACGAGAAGAAAGAAGACAACGCCGATGCCTCAACCTCCGACAATGTACCACAGCAAGACTCCGTATTCGCCAAATACAACATCAAAGCCCGCGTACCCAACCGCTACACAGACGAGGAATACAACCGCCATCTCAAGAACGACGACTGGACGCGCCAGGAGACCGACTACCTCATGGACCTAGTTGAAGAGTACGACCTCCGCTGGGTCGTAATCGCCGACCGCTACGACTATCAACCGCACTCCGTCGACGGCGACTCCAACAACACCAGCGCCCTCGTCCCCGCAAAGCAATACCGAACCATGGAGCAGATGAAATCGCGCTACTACTTCATTGCCGCAAGCATGCTCGCACTCGAACATCCACCCTCTGAGATGTCTGAAGCCGAATTTGAACTACACGAGAAGATGCTCAAATTCGACGCCGACCGTGAACGCTCCCGCAAAGAACTCGCCGCCCTCCAACTCAACCGCACAGCCGACGAAGTCCGCGAAGAAAGCGTCCTCCTCGAAGAACTCAAACGCATCACCGCCAACGAACAAGACTTCATCACCGAGCGTCGTGAACTCTACTCCCGCCTCGAAGTTCCCATCAGCGTCGGCAACACAACTATGTACCAATCCAGCCAAGGCCTTTCTCAACTCCTCCAAACCCTCCTCCAAGCCGACAAGAGCAAGAAACGCCGCTCCATCCTGGGCCCCGAAGGTGGCGCCGCTCCCAGTCCCGCCGGCGCAACCCCTGCCCCCAATGCCCCCAGCAGCGCCCGCGACAGCCGCGCCGACACCCCGAACGCAACCCCGGCTGCCGCCCCAACCAACAAAAAGGCCGCCGCGGCAGCTGCAGCCGCAGCCGCAGCAGCGAACAAGGAAGCGCAGCAACAAGCCGTTCGGACTCTCACCCCCGCCGAAGAAGCCAGATACGGCGTACAACACCACGACCGACTGGCACCAGGCGTGCAATTCCGCAGTGACCGCGCACAGAAGCTTACGCAAGCGAAATCGAATGTGCAGACGCAGAAACTCGCTGCCGCGCTGGCGGAACTGGAGGTGCCATTGCGGCTTGTCATGCCGACGGAGCGCGTCTGCAGGGATTTTGAGAAGTTGATTCACTCGGTGAATTTGCTGTTGGAGGCGCGGAAGGTGTCGGAGAAGGTGGAGAGTGAGATTCGGGTCTTGGAGGCTGCGAAGGAGGAACGTGAGAAGAAGGCAAAGGAGGCGCTAGAGAAGGATGGTAAGCCTGAAGTCAAGTCGGAGCAGCAGGAGGATCAGCCGCTTCCTGCGGCGGCGGAGGAGAGTGCTGGGGATGCGGAGGGGCAGGAGAAGGGTGCGACGGATGAATCGGGGGAGAAGGCAGGAGGTACTGGTGCTGGTGAGGAGGGAGATGGGCCTTCGCATAAACGCTCTGCTAGTGTGCTGAGCAATGCTAGTGATAAGAGTACGAAGCGGCAACGGAAGTAAAAGAGGATTGATGTTATGGGCGTTGGAGAATGGGCGGCGTTCTTGGTGTTTCGATATACCTATGTACGACTACATGAAGCTTGGGCTTGACAATCACTGGTTTTAATGCGATTATTTCATCGATGTAACACATTCGATATTAATTGTTTCCCTATCCTTTTATTGGTACGGTGGACTTTTATCATAGAGACGATTACCAGTTACCGATATAATTTGAGTGCCAGTATTGACTGTTCAGTAACAGCTGGTTTCCGGAAGTGAAGAGGCAGCGTCAGATGCATCAAGTGTTACATTGACAATAGTTGTTGTAACAACTTGCCAGTGTGGGTTGTGCTCCGACGGCCTCAAAAATATATAAGTGGCCAAAACACTGATACC